GCGGGGCCCCACCTGCTCCCCTGGCGGCTGAGCCCCGACCTGCCGGCCTCAGAACAGCCTGGGAACCTCGGGGTTGACTGTCTCCTGAGCAGCTGCGTCCTCGTAAAGCGAGTTTAGTAGTTTGGTGGCTGCGTCGCAGCCTCTGTTCTGTGCTCAGACCCGGGATGCGAAGGCGGGTCAGCGGCTTCAAAGGCATCGGCCCTCAGCCCACACCCCGCCCTCCCTCCGCGTGGGCACAAGCGCGTCCACCCAGCAGTGACACCGCCAACACCCCCTCCATGTCCACGCTCTCCCCCTGACCAGCACCAATGACCCCTCCCCGCCCACCCCCCTCCCGGGTGCGCCGCTGGCTTTGATGATGTTTCCCGCACAACTTCATCGGCCGCGCTCCCTGCTAACGGGCATCCCACGGAAGCAAAGGCCACGGTGACGTCACCTGTGCGGGGAGAGGGCACGGGCTCGGAGCAGAGCTGGCTCCGGAAGCATGTGTGTGAATTAAAGCCCAGCACCGCCTGCCCGCGCTCTGGGAGGAGGGAGAACGAGAAGGGCCGGCCTCGGCTTCCTCCGTGCGGGACAGACGCAGCCCCGAGTCTCCCTCGCCCTGTGGTTGCCCTTTGGAAGGCCTGGGGGCGTGTCCTTCTGATGACCTTGAAAGTGATGTCTCCTATTGCTGCCAAATGAGACACGATGGCACGCTCAGCCCACGGGAAGCGTCGTGTCATCAAAGTCCTTGCTGACCATAAACTCCACATAAAAGTAATTGGGTTTAAACATTAGGACCTGTGTCGCCGAGGTTTTTTTTAATTGATGTCAGAGAGGAAGGGAGAGGGAGAGAGATAGAAACATCAATGATGAGAGAGAACCATAGACCAGCTGCCTCCTGCACGCCCCCCACTGGGCATTGAGCCCCCAACCCGGGCCTGTGTCCTGACCGGGAATCGAACCCTGACCTCCTGGTTCAGAGGTTGACGCTCAGCCACTGAGCCACGCCGGCCGGGCAACTTTGAGGGAAGGACTATTTCTCTCTCTGTCCCCAAACCTGAGGACAGTGCTGAGCGCTGTGCTGTGGGCGTGTCTGGGGAGGGAGCCCCTCGGGCAGCAGCCAGCTCCTCCGCGGAGTCTCCATCCAGGTGTTCATAGGCCTCACGGCGTGACCTGGCGGCCAGAGCCCAGACAACCCCACACACAGGTACATGGGCTCCCTGGGCCAGTGGTCGGCAAACCGCGGCTCTCGAGCCACATGCGGCTCTTTGGCCCCTTGAGTGTGGCTCTTCCACAAAATACCACGTGCGGGGCGCGCACGTACGATGCGAAGTTGACTTAAAACTTTAAGTAAAGTTTATTAAGTTAATTTTAGGGAACGCTGTGGAGTGAAAGAAGATGTAGTGTCGAGGATTGAGAAAGGCATGCTGAGATGGTTTGGACATAGAGAGAGGATGAACGAAAGGAGACGGATGAAACAAGTGTACAAGACGCATGTGGATGGGAGAGTTGGAAGGGGTCGACCTCAGCGAACGTACCTCCATCAGATTGAGGACGTTTTTAGCAAAGGCCAGCTTAGGAGGACCCTATTGAATTTAATAACAATGTACCACCTATATAGTTTAAGTTTAAAGAATTTGGCTCCCAAAAGAAATTTCAATCGTTGTACTGTTGACATTTGGCTCTGTTGACTAATGAGTTTGCCGACCACTGCCCTGGGCCGACGCAGTATTCAGGGCCCGGGAAGCAGCGAGCAGGTCAGTGAACAACCACTGAGCATCCTCCACAAAACAGGCAGGTGCGATGAGCATCTCACCCAGGAACGAACGAGCCTTCACTCTAACGGGGTATTTGGCTTCGGCAAAGCAGAGTCCCAGCCAGCGAGACAAGAGGTGCTTCTAGGTGCCGACTCCGTAACATCGCAGGGGCTTTCGATGCCACTGTCGTTCCAAGAATAAGAGTCTCCTGTCAACACAGCGCACGTGTCCCCGAGGGGAAGAAGGCGGGGAACACCCCTTCTACCAAAGGGGGAAACGCTGTGTTTTAGCTGCTGCTTCTTTCTGTGGCCAGACCTTAGGGACCCCTAAGAACGAGACTCGTGGCCAAGTCCATCCACTGGGAACTCTTCCAACAGCCAGAGGTTCAAACCTCTCGGGCTGAGCTCTGAGCAGGGGCGGGGGAGGACGATGGGACTGTCACTGATGAAGGCGGGGCCGTCTCCTGGCGCCCGGCAGCTGGGAGATGGTCCTACTTATAACCAGCCCAGAAGCACACGGACACTGTCAGCATCTTTGGGTTCGATCTAGGAGTTCTTTTTAAAACGCATTTGCATTGATTTCAGAGAGGAAGGGAGAGGGAGAGGCATCCATGATGAGAGAGAATCATGGATCAGCTGCCTCCTGCACACCCCCTACTGGGGATGGAGCCTGCAACACAGGCCTGTGCCCTGACCCGGAATTGAACTGGTTCATAGGTCGATGCCACACCGGCCGGGCATATTTAGGGCATTTTAATGACATTTTAAATATTGAAATCTTAAAAATAAAGAGACAAAATGTGAGGCGTCCCCGTCCCCATGCACTGCCTGAAGTCAGAAGAAGACCTGGGTCAAGGCGCCCAGACAGGCGGGAACTGGTGACGGGCTAACGCGTGAGAGCAGGAGAGGAACCACCAGGACACAGGGGTCATGCAGAAAGAGTGAGGTTTATTAGAGACGACAGCGCAACCCTCCTACCCGCCCGGGTGCCAGCAGGGACGCCGGGGAAGTCACCCAAGAGCCAACCCTGCGCTTCGCTGCCCCGCTCCCGGCCTGGAGGG